TGCTACCACTGAGAACAGTCTAGAGCCATCCTCTTTGGAACCCCCTTTCAGGTAGTTGAAAGCAGCTATCAAATCCCCCCTCATTCTTCTCTTCCGTAGACTAAACATCCCCAGTTCCCTCAGCCTCTCCTCATAACTCATGTGTTCCAGTCCCCTAATCATTTTTGTTGCCCTCCGCTGGACTCTTTCCAATTTTTCCACATCCTCCTTGTAGTGTGGGGCCCAAAACTGGACACAGTACTCCAGATGAGGCCTCACCAGTCTACTGCAGAGGGGAATGATCACGTCCCTCGATCTGCTGGCAATGCCCCTACTTATACAGCCCAAAATGCCATTGGCCTTCTTGGCAACAAGGGCACACTGTTGACTCATATCCAGCTTCTCGTCCACTGTAACCCCTAGGTCCTTTTCTGCAGAACTGCTGCCGAGCCATTCGGTCCCTAGTCTGTAGCGGTGCATTGGTTCTTCCTTCCTAAGTGCAGGACCCTGCACTTATCCTTATTGAACCTCATCAGATTTCTTTTGGCCCAATCCTCCAATTTGTCTAGGGCCCTCTATATCCTATCCCTACCCTCCAGCGTATCTACCTCTCCTCCCAGTTTAGTGTCATCTGCAAACTTGCTGAGGGTGCAATCCACACCATCCTCCAGATCATTAATGAAGATATTAAACAAAACCGGCCCCAGGACCGACCCTTGGGGCACTCCGCTTGATACCAGCTGCCAACTAGACATGGAGCCATTGATCACTACCCATTGAGCCCGACAATCTAGACAGCTTTCTATCCACCTTATAGTCCATTCATCCAGCCCATACTTCTTTAACTTGCTGGCAAGAATACTGCGGGAGACCGCGTCAAAAGCTTTGCTAAAGTCAAGGAACAACACATCCACTGCTTTCTCTTCATGCACAGAACCAGTTATCTCGTCATAGAAGGCAATTAGATTAGTCAGGCATGACTTGCCTTGGTGAATCCATGCTGACTGTTCCTGATCACTTTCCTCTCCTCTAAGTGCTTCAGAATTGATTCCTTGAGGACCTGCTCCATGATTTTTCCAGGGACTGAGGTGAGGCTGACTGGCCTGTAGATCTGGAAGTAACTGTAAAATCACTTCTGATAAAATTTGTAGCTGAGAAAGATTGGCGGAGTGGTCAGTGATATTGACAGACAAAACTAGATTGCTTGGTAAGCTGGGCCTAGTCACACAAAATGCCTTATAACACAACCAAATGCAAAGTTATACATCTGGTAACAAGGAATGCAGGTCATACCAATAGAATAGGGGACTGCAACCTGGAAAACAGTGACTGAAAAGGGTTTGGGGGTCATAGCGGACAACTAACTGAACATGAGCTCCTAGTGTGATGCTGTGGCAAAAAGGCGATATGATCCTTGGGTATATAAACAGGGGAGTTGTGAGTATGAGGAGGGAGGTGATTTTATCTCTGTATATGGCACTGGTGACACCAATACTGGAATATTACATACAGTTCTGGTGTCCACATTTTAAAAAGACAGCAGAAAAATTGGGGAGCCACAAAAATGATTTGGGGGCTGGAGACAAAGCCTTTTAGTAAGGGACATAAAGAGCTTAATTTGTTGAGCTTATCCAAAAGATCAAGAGGAACTTGATTACAGTGTACAAGTGCCTTCATGGGGAGAGAATACTGAGTTCTCACGGGCTCTTTAATCTAGCAGACAAAGGCAGAACAAGAACCAATGTCTGGAAGCTGAAGCCAGATACATTTAAAATGAGAAATTAAGCACAAATTCTTAAGTGTAATGGTGATCAACCATTGGAACAAACTATCAAGGGAAATGGTGGATTCTCCATGTTTGGATGTCTTCAGGTCCAGACTAGATGCCTTTCTGGAAGGTATGCTTTAGCCAAACACAAGTGACTGGGCTAGGTACAGAGGTACCTAGATAATGGCACAAAGTGTAGAAATACAGGAGGTCAGCCTGGATGATCTCATGGTCCTTGCTGGCCTTAAACTCTGAATATGACTTTAAAACTGAGAACAAACATGCACTACTGTTAAACCACTGTCTGAATCTTCTTTTACTAAACAATGTTTAGTACAACACAAAGATGGCAGCATAGTTCTGTTGGTAGCCTATAACAAAACACATGTTTTTAACAAATATATTGGCTAGCCTGTGTTGACTTGTGGTTTCTGGTGAGTGAAGAAAACACTAGAAATAGAAGACTTGCCAGTCTAGATGGAGCGGAAGGATCGGCCAGTGGTTAGGGCACTAGCTTTTGACTTTGGAGGCCTGGGTTTAACTCTTGCTCTGCCGCAGACTTCCTTTTTGACATTGGGCAACACACATAGTCTCTCTGGCCCAGCTCCACAGAAGTACTTAGGCTCCTAATTTGAAATCAATAGACATTAGGAGCCTAAATATCTCAGTGTGCCTCAGTTCTCCATCTGTAAAATGGGGGTAGTAGCACTTCTCTACCTTTACAGGCAGAATAAATTAATGTGCCGCTGTAAGCTCTGTAGTGTAGCCACAGCTTAAGATACCAATGGAGTTCTGTGATGTTACTGACCTAAACTGTGACCATATAGATCATTGTTGCAACCAAGGTCCTATAGTTGCACCAAATCTTACACAAAAGAGGTCCCAGTAAGGTGTTTATGGAAAGGTTATGATTTGCTGGTTATGATTATGCTATCTGTATGTGTGTATCATTTCTGTAGTTGAAGTTATGAATATTGGCTATGTACGTGTACCTCAATATGTTTTGATTCTAAGAAGCCTCAATGAAGCATTTGGTCAGCTTCTTGAGAATGGGCACTTACTGAGAATAGTCTTATCAAGAAACACTTAACTGACAATGGACTTTGGGAGATGCCAATCCACATCTGAGCTTTCCTCGGAACGTTCAAACTAGCATGTAAACAATATCATTGGCCTGTAAAGGACTGAGTCATGCATGGACAAGTGACTTGCCTATGTGACGTCAAACTCCATCTTGCTGCTGTGATCTTCCACTGGGCAGAGGATATAAAAGGCCCTGAAAACTCCTCCATTTTGTCTTCAATCCTGCTTCTTACTTTTGGAGGAACCTTGCTACAGACCGAAGCTCTGAACAAAGGACTGAATGACCCATCCCAGCTGTGGATGTACTCCAGAGACTTGATTTGAACCTGCAGCTTATTCCATCACTGGTGCAAGCCTGAACCAAGAACTTTGCCATTACTGTATGTAATTGATTCCGTTTAACCAATTCTAGCTCTCATCTGTATCTTTTTCCTTTTATGAATAAATCTTTAGATTTTAGATTCTAAAGGGTTCGCAACAGTGTGATTTGTGGGTAAGAACTGATTTGTATATTGACTTGGGTCTGGGGCTTGGTCCTTTGGGATTGAGAGAACCTTTTTCCTTTTACTGGGGTATTGGTTTTCAGAACCATCTGCCCCCCATAACGAGTGGCACTGGTGGTCATAGCTGGAAACTGGAGTATCTAAGGGAATTGCTTGTGTTACCTTATGGTTAGCCAGTGGGGTAAAACCGAAGTCTTCTCCGTTTGGCTGGTTTGGTTTGCCCTGGTGTGCAAAGGAACCCCAGCCTTGGGCTGTAACTGCCCTGCTCTAAGCAATTTGTCCTGAATTGATACTCTCAGTTGGGTCCCACCAAAGCCAGCATCGTTAGAAGTTCAATGGGGCTTTGTGCAGACATAAGGGTCTGCTGCAGCAGAAGTAGGTGCTGGTCTGGGGCCTAAATCAGGAGACTAAGGGCATGTCTACACAGCCCCGCAGTGCAGACCAAAGTGCTATGCTGTAACTCTCCTGTGTGGAGACTGAAGGTGTGAATGTAAAGGGCCCGAGTTTGCACTGACATGCTCTTCAAAGGGGACTATGTTCGTGTGAACTAAGGCCCTTTAAGTTTGCACCCGCAGCATCCACATGGGGAGTTACAGCACAGCACTTTGGTGTGCACTGCTACTTGCCTCCATAGTCTGAACTCTAGGGTAGTGTAGACATAGCCTTAGGCTCTCCTCCAGCATCGTTTATGGTGAGTTTCAAAACACGATGTAAGGCATACACACATTTGAAGAGGCGTTCTACAGGAGGATCACTTGGAAGTTTAATGATAAAGAAGCCAATAGCTTGTGGCTATTATTTAAATTCCCTCTGTTGCTGGACAAATGGTAGATATGATGTTCAACTTCACACACACGGTTGTAGGTCATTTATTACACACATCGGGAGAACTTTAAACTCTTAGAATCCTTGTAAAGCACTTTTGAAATCCTCTGATGGAAGATGGTGTATAAGGGTTTGATCGTGCACCCAATGAAATCAGTGCTAACGCTCCCCCTGGCTTAAATGACACAGGATCAGCCACCACGTGAACAAAGGATTATGACTATTAATAATGGTAAAACAAGTTCTAATACAATCCCTTTGACACAGTGCAACTGGCCATTGAAATGAGAGAGCATTTGGAGTCTCAGTTATGGGAGTGGGATGAGGGAAAGCATTTTGAGATAGAAAGGAATAAATTTCATAGGTAAACATTTAATAGCATTTGACCAGGAGAAGGATGGATTTGGATCACTTAGTAACAATGTGTTCTGCCTTGGGGCTTTCAAACTGTGGTTTTACTAGACACACCACGCAACCCTTCCGCTCTCCTGTGAACATGAATCTGTTTCTTAGAATCTGCTTTAAGAGCTACATTGATGGGGATTTGTATGTGTGTCTCTTCCATCCAGCCAAACAATTTCAGCATCAGACATATGCCTGATCAGAACATGGAATTAAAATAATTAAACTTCTTTAAATGAAGGAAAAAGAAGCTTGCCCTTAAGGCAATTCGAACAGGCCTTGTTATCTGTGGCTGCATTGCCTTGATCACTCCATCTGACTTTCTAGAGCAGCATTACAATGCGTGATGAATGGGTTTGAAATTAGAAGCAGGTGAGACTTTCCCTTTGGTAATAGGGACCCATGCCTGAGACAGATATATTTGACTAAACATGACAAGCTAAATCAGGGCTTGTTTTATTGGAACCATAAATATGGTAACTAATCAGGACAGAAGAACAAATAAGTCAGTCTTGTATCCTGGTCCCACTGATTGTAACATAATAGTAACCTAGAATTTGCCTCCAAAACATAAGACATAACCCAAACAAATACATCAAACTAGCAAAATCAAGTGGTCACCATTCAGTACTTGCTACACACGACAGTAATCTAATCAAATAAAATATAATTAACTTAACAAAACTATTAAGAAGAGTTGCTACGTTCATTTCTTACATCTCCAGATAATAGGTGTGGCCTTTTCTGACTGAGGAATACAAAGGAAGAAAGGTGCTTTTAGAAAAGGTACATATGTGTAAGGCATGATAGCGGTATAGGGGCTGGTAAAGCCAGCCATATCTGATCTGAAAGATAACAAAACTTCTGCAGGATGTTGTACTGGACCATTAAGGAATGGATACATTTACAGCTTTTGTTCACATTTGTAGGGTATCTCGTTCAACACTATAGCTTTTTATCAATATATCTCCAGATGTCAGTAAAAACAAAATACAGACAGACTTTGGACTGCTGAAAAGATCCAATGTCTAGGTCAAGGAAGAAAAAGAAAATGGCTGGTATCAGAAGTAGTTTAGAGCACCCTTCTAATCTTGCCTGCAAAATATTGTGAAACTCCTCAAGCTTGCAGCCCCAGCTGGGGATGAACAGCTCTGGTTTAAGACGCCATTGTGCAATGTGTTCAGGCTGAAGCTAGATTAATCAAAACGCTCAAGGAACAGAGTTCAGTATAACTTCGAATTTTCCCCAGAGACCTTAGAGACCAAGCAATGCGTATTTTGTCCATCAAATCCTCTTGTTTCATAACAAGAAACAAAAACCAACCAACAAAATCTCAATGTATAGAACAGTTTCGTGTGCCATGTGTTCCCTCCACATGCCTTCCTTTACATTGTTATCACAGACTAGCAGGCAGCATAGTCGCAACATGAAATTCACATTCTTTAAACTACAGTAGAACCTCAGCGTTCTGAACACCTCGGGAAAGGAGGTTGTTCGTAACTCTGAAACGTTCCTAACTCTGAACAAAACGTTATGGTGGTTCTTTCAAAAGTTTACAACTGAACACTGACTTCATACAGCTCTGAAACTTTACTATGCACAGAAGAAAAATGCTACTTTCCCTTTATTTTTTTTAGTAGTTTACGTTTAACACAGTACTGTCCTGTATTTTTTTTTGGGGGGGGGGCGGGGGAGGTGGTCTCTGCTGCTGCCTGATTGTGTACTTCTGGTTCCAAACGAGGTGTGTTTTCGTTGGTCAGTTCGTAACTCTGGTGTTCAGAACTCTGAGGTTCTACTGTAGTCATAAATATACCAGGCTTTTCTCTTGCTCACATATATTTAGAACAGTGCCACAAGTACTCCTTTTCTTTTTGCATATATTTAGAAGTTGCACACACGTATCACTCTCTCTTTAAAGCTCATGGACAAATCAATTTAAAAATCAAAGTATTTAAATGCCTCTTTTCTTCCCATACTGCTTACAGCATTGTGTACTTTCCAAACATTCCCCACCCTCTTAAAATCTGAGAGCAGATCTAGTTTGCCTTAAAGTGAGTGCTAATTGGAGCTTGGGCTAGACCTAGAGCAGACTAAGGCTGTGCAATCTTCCCACAAAAAGTTGGGTCGGTGTTGTAACCTGCTGGTAGAATAATAGAAGTGTAGGGCTGGAAGGGACCTCAATAGGAGATCTATTCCATCCACCTGTGTTCAAGCAGGATTCCTGACAGGGGTTCATCTAACTTGTTCTTAAGTTACTGCTTTGTTAGCCCAATCTTAACTATTGCTTCAGCAGACACTCAGATCAGATCATCGGGTGGTTTTGTAATATGCACAATGATGGAATGTGGCCACCAAATTTATTTTAATTTAACTAGGATTTGAAAGTGAGAAGCCAGGGCACTAACCCACCATTGCCACCCGGTGCCATATCCCCAGCATAGTTTGGAAAAGCAGGGTTATGATTCTTTCATTTGGATGGCATAAAGGTGGTACAATTCAGAATGGAGATGGATCTAGAGGGAGTAAAGTGCCTGAAGCAAGCAAATTAAGCCTCCTTCAAAACCCTACGCACTGGGAAAAATTAGTTGCTTTGATTTTTACATCTTTCACTCACAGGAGCCCTGGCCATGGCAGCTTTACAGGGATCGTATTTTCAACTTCTCCTTGTGCACTAGGCACAGGCAAGTTACAGCTTTCAGTGTCAGGCATCTGCTGTCTTTTCATCTTTTTATTTCACCCAGGGCCGTCCTTAGGCATATGCAGCATACAAGGCGGAGGGAACCTGAAAATTTGGGGCACCCCTTGGTCTTAGTGTCCACCCTTCCACCTCTACCTATCCCTGTTCTAATCTGACCCTTCCTGCAGGCTCCCACCACAGCTAGCTGCTGCAGCCGGGTGAGTCTTCCTCCGGAGGGGATCTAGTACTTAAAAGTGAAAAAGCCTTCGAGCCTGCCAGACCTGTTAGCACAACACTGAAACTGTTAAAGAGCCATTCAAGTGGCTGTAGCTCACGAAAGCTTATGGCTCAAATAAATTGGTTAGTCTCTAAGGTGCCACAAGTCCTCCTTTTCTTTTTTCAAGTGGTAATGAAGCCATTTAACAGGCATTTGCCAACCCCCAGGTATATTCTGTCAGTTTCTGAATTTACTGACAAAAACAGTTGTGCATTATTTTAATATTTACTCAGAACATGTTCGTCCACAGGACCTTAGGTTAAAATTTGCTTTAAAAATATTTCATTAGTATGTTGCTGAAGATTATAAAATCACATCTCTAAAAAATCCTTGCATAGATTTTTAGATGCACAATCTGAGTATTCATCTTTAGCCTTAAATGCTTGGATCTTCAGACATATAGTTTTTAAAATAAATCCTCCAAAAGACTACCCTTATCTAAAATACATGTGAGCCCGGGCTGCCGTCAGGCGTAGGTTACTAGTTTAATAATACTGCATAGGGCCCCATAAATCCTAAGGATGGCCCTGATTTCACCAAACATTTACTTTGTCCGTTAATGATGTTCTTGCTGTATCAATGGCAAATGGCATTCTACACACCTGTTTTTATGGGGGTGGAGGGGAGTGTGTGCAGAAAGATTGTATTTCAAACCTCCAGTATCCCAGAGGGAGGGAGTGGTTGATGCTTGACATGCCAAAATGAGGATAATCACCCTGTGTTTTTTTGTCCTGTCTCCAAAGTATATGCACAGGCAACTGCTGATCTGAATTCAGCCCAGACAGTGCTGAGGTAGTGCTGTACACTTCCTAGGAATCCAGGTAATTTCTGTGCTCTGTCAACTGATGGAGACTCCCTTTTTGATAGAGTACTCTGTAAAATGTAGAATGCACACTTAAACTGCAATAAAATAAGGCTTCCTAATGTTCATACTCAGAAGTTCTGTTCAGCTACAGGCACCTGTACCTCTGCATGTCTAAGCTGGAAGCTTCGGGATATTTTTGTGTTACCATTGCGGCTGCCCAGAAACAGTGAAAGGATGCATGGAAGAAGAAAAACAGGCAATGATGTTTGCTCTACACAAAGTCTTGCAGTTTTCACTTGCCTAGCTGCCATTTTTCATGTTCAGTAATCATTATGAAAAGTCTGAAAGGCAGAGAGAATTTTCAGCACTGCTGAAAAACAGTTGCTTATCTCCTAGTAGGGCATTCTTTGACTGACACAAAATAACAGTTGGCAGTCTTTCATTCCTGAACCAATGCTTCAGCATCAAGGTACCATTGTACCTTTCACTCATACAGGTGTTTTGAAGAGTGTTTTGAAAACCAGCGCAACTGCTGATTAGAAGTGGCAGACTAAAGCAGGTGGATTTTGCTCTCTCCTCTGTCAGAGAAGGTTTTTGCCATCTGTCCTGGCCCATGCTCTGGAAACACTATGCCATTCGTGTTTCAGATAATGCTGCCATCCTTGGCTTCAACATAGCGTCCTTAGCTTCAACATTCTCTTGGTACATCACCAGCTGCCCAAATTCTCTGAGAATTTCCCATTTAAACGTGTGCTGTAAAGACAAAATAATTATTCGTTTTATAGACAAAAACTACTAATGTGCTTAACTGACAATCAATGAACAGAGAAAGATCATGAAGTCAAAGATAGAAAAGGCCCTTTAATCCAGATCCTGCAATTGAATCCTCATGGGTGGATCCCTGCACCTGCACAGAGCCCCATGATTTCAATGGGACTCCAGTCAGGCCCTAGAGTCCATCAGTGCGGATCTAGTTGTAGGGTCAAGACCTTAATCTTCAAGTGCATCTCACCCTGCAAATGCAAGAAATGCCCCCTCTCCCTCAAACAATGGCCTACTTCAACATTGTTTCATTTCAGCTGCCACTAGAATAAAGAGGCATTAACTTTAAAAATTCCTGTATTGTAGCAATATAGCCAAGCCTCAGCTGACCCTCTTATTTTCATATCAGTGAGGATTTCCCAGTAAATGATCTGACCTTCCATAAGGTGAAAATTAAACAGCTAAAGCAGAAGAATTTTTTGCTTTAACACTAAAAAGTGGAATGGCCACTTCAATCTGCCCAGGGTGTTTTCACATGGGGCTACACGCACCCTGCACCACTAGACTGAAAAGCTAAAATGATGTAGGGCCAGATCCTCTGGTGCACTAGGGAAGCTTTGCACTGCTCTCTTGGCACAAAATGGTTCTCAAACTAGTAGATGCAGGAAGACACAGCGGACCCGTCCCTGCAGTGAGTCGTGAACCACCTCCCCTTCCCACGGCTGGTACAGGACTGTGCCTGGGGGAAAGGGAGAGTGGGCCTGGCATGTTCCTACGCTCCGTTGTTAGCCAAAGCAAACCAGATTAGTGTTTAGGGTCTGACCCTGAACAGAGAGAACCCCAACCTGCAGGGGAGGGGTTGTCTTTTTTTTTTTTAATGTGTCCGTACGGCGCCCAGCACCATGGGGCCCCACCGTAACACAGATATTTACTACAACCAATATTAATGTGACTCAAGTAGTTTTTCACTTAACTACATGTTTATGGGCCAGGTCCTGGGATTTGGCCAAGAAGCACTCAATATAAATCAAGAGACTTGAAATAAACTGCTTGTACCATGTAAACAGACTTCACTGCTGTCTGGAGGAGAAAACCCATTGTTTATAAAAGGTCATTAAGCAGGAAATGGTTTAATGTCTGTTGATTTTAAATGGTCTGTTGAATCAGCCCAGAATGGTCTGGGGAGTATGTAAATTGTTCATTAAGCCAGTTTATATATCAGAAATGAAAAGCTAAGCATTTTTTGATGTAAGGGATGCTTGCTTGCATTAGGTATTTTAAGTTGTATTGGTGCAGAGCAGTTGTTATAGCGGCTGATTATATGCTTTTAAAGCAGTGTATTTTCTGGACTTTTATACTGTAATTCCACACAGATCCACCATATCTCTAGCTAATTTTGCAGATGCAGCATAGGATATGGTTAACACTTGTCACACAATAAATAATATCAAGTAGTCATCCAGACAATCCTATCTCTGTCTGCTTTCACTAGATCTGAGTTTGTTTTTAAATCATGCCTTGTTTTCTTTTTTTACAAATGGGTACTGCCCTTCTAAACTGGCTTGCCACATAACATTTTAATGGCCAAGAGTACAAGATTTAAACAGGCTGTAGGTTTAGATTGTATTTCTTCGTTGGGGAAAGGAGAGTACATAACACATTTTCTAAAGATATGGGCCAGATTCTAAGGTAGTGTAAACAGGCATAGATCCACTGAAGTAAATGGAACTATCTGGATTTGATCAAGGGAAGGATTTGTCCCCCTAAGAGGTGTTACACAGAAAGGAAGAGAGCAGCACTTTTGAGGCGTATACTGAATTTGTATGAAGTCAGAAATGGGTAATCTTGCGCAGTTTAAAAACAAAAAATCAAATCAAATATTTTATAGAGAGTTGTAGCACGGGAGCCCTGAAGTTATGTAGCCCCTGAGACACCTGTGGTAAGAGTGTGTCTGATCTTTCACTACTTACTATTGTGCTGTGCTCCATCTTCATTTTGTTGAACATCTGTTAAAAGAAATACAGCATTTTAAATATGTGAGGTGGTTTATTATCTCTTCTTTGAACTGCAGTAGCCCCAAGGAGCATCAATAAAGAATCAGAGCTCCATTGTGCTAGGCATTATGCAAACAGTAGAAAAAGGAGTCCCTGCTTCCAAGAGCTTACAGTGTAGGCAACAGGTGGATGGAACCCACAAATGGAAGGGGAGGATGAGGCAACAAGAAAGCAGGCAAATCATCATACAGTTAGCAAATACCTTCGCTCACTACCTCTCTAGACTTATAAGGATGAAAACATTAGAACAGTCTAAAGATACAAATTAAGGTTTTGTAAATTTCCAGGCCTGTATGAATAATTCCAGCTTGGCTCTACACAACATTAATCTTCATAAGGAAAAAGTTACAAGCCTCAGGTTTGTTGGGCCAAGTGACCTTCTTGTCTAGCAGTTCATCTTACACTTAATTATATTATCCTGAGTCTGACATGGCTACAACTACACTGCATAACTTAGTTACCTTGATATTTCATAATGGAGTTTGGATGCTGAGACTATAGCTTTAAATCACAGCCCTGCATTGGGTTGGAGTGGCTTTGCACCACCCTGTGGCAGTTCTGAGAGGTATTGTGCCTCAGAGAAGTGCAAAGCCATAGGCACCAACTCTGGGTGCTCCAGGGCTGGAGCACCCACGGGGAAAAATTAGTGGGTGCTCTGCACCCACTGGCAGCCAAGCTTCCTGCCCCATCTCACCTCCTCCTCTGCCTCCACATCCTCCCTTGAGTACGCCACATCCCAGCTCCTCTGCCTGCCTCCCAGGCTTGCTGCCGCCAAACAGCTGTAGCAAGCTCCGGGAGGGAGGGGGAGGACCGGGAACGCGGTGCACTCAGGGGAGGAGGCAGGGCCGGGGCGGGGATTTGGGGAAGAAGTCAAATAGGGGCAGGGAGGGGGTGGAGTTGGGGAAGGGACTTTGGAGAGGGGGCGGGGCGGGGTGGAATTGGGGCAGGGCCGGGGCAAAGGGGCGGGGGGTCGAGCACCCACCGGCGCCATTAGGAGTCAGCGCCTGTGCGCAAAGCCCCAAATGAGCACAGCTGATACAGAAGGGGGCACTTGAATGGACACTGTGGCTAGCCCCTGCATGGGGACAAAGAGGGAAAGCTCCCCCAGTCTCACATGCTCTCCCTGGCATCTCTGCAATTTGCTCCACAATGAGAGCGCACATACATGGGTAAATATTGGAGCTGGCTGGGAATTTTTTGATGAAACTCTTTTTTTCCTGGAAAATGCTGCTTTGTTAAAACTGACACTTCCCATGGGAAAGGGTTGGTTTGGACGAAAGGTTAGTCAGGAGGGTTTCTCAGGTTCAGGTTGGAATTTTTTGGGGGCGTGGGGGGAGGAAGGATCAGAGAGAGACCCACCACCGAACAGCCAATAGTCCAGTGATCCGGGCACTCATTTAGGATGTGGGAGACCCCAGGTTCAAACCCCTGCCCAGGGCTCCCACATACCAGGTGAGTGTCTTAACCACCAGGCTATTGGTTATTCTGGGGTGATTCTCTCTGTCTTTTTTTGCAAAAATTTTCATAAGGTGTCTGTTTCATTCTGATGCGGAATGGAACTTTTTTTTTCAAAATCTCAAATTTTCACCATTTGAGACAACAGTCCCCAGCCCACCCCAGCTCTAGTATATCTTCAGTCTTGTTCTCGAGACATCTATGGGTGCTCTCTTTTGTTTTATTTTGTAAAGTGCTGAAATTTCTGTGTGGGCAGCTGCAGAAACGCAAGCAATCGTATTTGTAAATGAGGATTTGTTTGATTGTTTGTTACATGGAATTATAGTAAGACATGATTGATTCTCACTTGGGAAATTGTAGGAAACTGGTAGAGTACGGAATTTGTAATAGGATCTGGGGCTTTCATCCAGGGGCTAGACTTGGTGACCTCTCAAGGTCCCTTCCAGCCCTACACTTCTATGATTCTGTAAATCACTGATTCTAATCTTCTCAAGACAGGTGATAACTCCAAGTGATTATCATCCAGTTTTGGTTTGGTCTATATGAAATTTGTGTGTGATCTCAGACCAGTTCTTAATGGAAAGCTGTCCATATTACACAAACCCCTCCTTATCATTACACTCCTCTTGTGGATAGTCTCGGCAGAGAAGCCAAAGACTGAACAGATGTAGAGCCCAAACTACCATTGCATTCAAAGGAATGGTTCCTCTGGTGTGAGGTAGGTTGGTATAACACCATGAAATATACATGAAATGTACCAGTTTTGTGGCTAATTTAGAGTATAGCTCCCAGTGTTGTCAATTCAGCACTTGTCATGAGCTCTAGTTTCACTTATAATGTAGAGAATTCACAACTACGTATGACAAATTGTAGAATATTAAATATTTTGGAAAAATGAAAAGAACTAGTCATATCTGACCAACAAGTGTAAATGGTTTAATTACCTGCATATGATTTCCGGTAAGGGGATTTCCTTTTCCACAGCCAGCAGGTTAAAACAACTAGACCAGCTAACACAACGGCAATGGCAAGGACGCTTCCAGCCTGAGCTCCCGGTTTATTTAGCTCTAACAGACTGCTTTTGGTAGAGTTAGAGTTTGTGATGTTTTCCGAGTCTGAAGAGGAATAGAGAAGCTCTCAAATTTCATTCCAGATGAGTGTTCAAGTGCATTTTATAGACATGAGATTCACACAAGTCTATAGGTTTCTATAGCCCTCCTATACAAATAGCTTTCATCCCACCACCATTTTCTGAACAAGGCCAAATTTCTACCTACATGGTCTTTAATGATTAATTATTATTATTATTACACACACTTTTTAGGCATACATTTTCCTCCTGTGGAAGGATTTAGTAACACAACTTCTCTTAAAAATGACAGCACTATGGGTGTTCAAGTGACAAAGTCCTTCCCACACCAAAGCTGGCTGTCATTTTGGATATGTTCATCTGAGAAAGGAATCTACTGAACAGCTTTCGAAGATTAGTTTTTGAGTGATTTGTGTACTCAAAATTAGACTTGTTTTCAAACAAGAATGAGGGCCAGATCCTTAGTTGGTGTAAGTTGTAACTCCTTGGATATCTGGTCCCAAAGCTTTCAAAGCCTCCCAGTGACCATGAGGATTCCCTAAGAAGACAACCCAAAATGGCAGTCATGTTTTGGCAATTGCCATGAGACCCTGCAGTTCATCCTGCAGGTCACCACACTACACAAGTGACAGCACTAGGGAGTACATATTCTTGTGCCTGTATATTTATTTATATATTCCCAACCCACAGATACACAATGATATTACTTTAAAACTGATGCTGCCTTATTGGACCAAGTACAGGATTTTGTAGGCTCCTGCAGGAGCTATGAAGACTCAGCTGCCATCTTGACATTGTTCCTTTAGTGGAGAAAATCCCCTACAGCCATTTAAAAACTTTGTTTCCTACTCCAAAAACCTACTGGAACTAGATTTTCTATGAAAATCTGGCTTCTAATAAGTATTCCGCTGTTCTAATAAGTATATTCCGCTGGCAAAAATCTTTGGCAGAACAATTCTTCACATGTGCCATAAGAACAGAGTTGCCAACCCTCCAAGATTGGCCTGGAGGCTCCAGGAATTAAAGATTAATCTTTAATTAAAGATTAAGTCCTGTGATGAAATCCCCAGGAATACATCCAACCAAAATTGGCACCCCTACATAAGAATCCCCACCCTTTCCTCAGGGCACTTGCTGGTTTGGTTATGCTGCTTCGTTTCCTCCTGGCTAGTAGGGACGATGCCCCAGTAAGGGACAAGAGAGGCGATGAGAAAGCTCCGATATCTTCTGGTCTCTGCCTACAACACAGGTTGCGTCCTCTCCCCACCTTCTCAGGGCCAGCTCATATTATACTCTTAACCCTATAGCCCATTCTTCTTCTGCCCTGTCTCAGGAGACATACACCACTTCTTCTCCTCTTTTCCTGGTTCCAGATTCCCCTTCCATTCAGCAACCATGGCAGACAGTAGGTTTGAGCTGTTGCCTATAGACTTGTAATTTTTTAAATATCTGCTGTAAATAAGCAATAAAATCAGTACAAGTGCATTCAGAATAATGGGTGAAATCCTGGCCCTGTTGGAGTCAATGGCAAAATTCCCATTGATTTCAGTGGGGTTACGTTTTTTTGTTTGCTTGCTTTCTTCTAAAAACAGTAGAGCGATGTATTCTGGAAAAGTTATCAACCTTATAAAAGGTAAAATAATTCTTTTCAGAATGAATGTGACAAAATGTCTTTAGGAAGATAATAGTGAACAGGTTATTCCTGTTTCCTACAGGGTGGAATGTTGGCATTAGCAAGCTACCAAATGCCCCTTATCTTGCAATCTGTACTCATGGATCTTTGCTCACGCTAGTAATCACGTTGATTTCATTGGTATTACTTCACTGAGTTTGCAAGATAGATCCCTCTTGTAGCAGCCAGGCAAGGTACTAACAAACTTCAACAGGACTTTAAAAAATAAAGTGGAAACCTCTTTTCCAAGCTGCTGCTGTACCCTCAGTAACTCTCCCTCAGCCTCTTCAACTCCTCCCTCACTCCTTCCTGTTTCCTGTCCTTTCAGACTTCCAACAGCCGGTGCTCCCAATTCTAATAATTACAAGCAACATCCAAACACCACAATCCCTTTAGCTCTGACCCTGCATTTGGCTCTGCAAAGGCACAGAGATCTACCCACATAGTGCTGCTTGCAGGATCGGGGCCTAAGATTGCAATGTCTGGAGCAAGGCTCTATCTTGTCTTTATGCTTGTCTATAAGGCATCTAGCACACTATGTGTGCTACAGCATGTAAACATAGATTTGAACAGAACAGGAAAGGTTATCTGTTTTGTGAGTTTGAGTGGCTAAGTCTTGGTTTTTATTACTAATAACTTCCATCAGCAATAAATTGTCTATCCTCCATGTGTCTCTCATTGATTGTTCTCAATGCTTTGGCCTAACATCATTTCCAGTTATTTGGTGCTTGGCTGAATAATCCAATTAGGCATTTGGTACGAACCTAGTTTCAACAGGTTCTCTTTTTCTTCAAATCAGTTTTGGAGACTGAAAACAGAACTTTAAAACTACCCACAGAAGGAGCATAGCTAAGAGAGTGGTTGTAAACCAATGTGGTGGGACTTCAGGAGTCATGGATCCACCACATATTAAAATGTCTTTCCTTTGAAAGTAATCCTTCAGCACTGAGCTAGGCCTAGTGTGGTTCCCACAGGAGCTGAAGGGGGAATCATAGTGATTCCAAAATTGTTGCAGGGGGGCAGGGAGTGGGAGAGAACCGTTATGATCAGGATGGTGCTTCTTACTTCCACACAGAGGAACGATGATCTGTGTGCAGACCTGGGAGGCTTAAGAGGGTGTTTAGCTTCATTTTTAAAAAGTCACATTTAAATATAAACACTATGGTCTAAATTTATATAGGCTTTAAAAATTAAGCTCATTTCAGTCGGCCACTGGACTATCCCACTCTTAATGAGGCTGCTACTCATCAGAGATGTACATGTACACGTAGACAAACACACATCTGTTATTTGCCATATATTAAACAACTTACAGAGGACAGTTAGATTTTGCTGTAGTAGTTCATTTTCTATGATGCATCCTATTTTTATATCAGAAGTTGCTTCAATCTTCAGTGTGCTGAAAACACTGTATGTGCTATCGTTGTTTTGGATGATCTTTAATGATGATGGATGGAGGGAGCTGTTGTCTTTTCTATTTATCCAGTAAACGTTTGGCTTTGGGTATCCTTGGCTATAGTTGCAACTTAATGTCACCTCTTCTCCAATATTTGGGGGGATTCCTATAGGTCCACTCAGTACTGGCAGGCTGTTATTGGCTGGAAAAGGTAAAAATCATTAGCATTTTATAATCTTTTCAAAAGATTAAGTAATGACAGATTATAAAGCACAGGTTCTGGGGATTACAAACTCATAGCTCAGACGTAAATATCAGCCTGCATGGACATTTGGCCAATTACTTCAGTAATTTATTGAAGGAGGCAGAAGGCCAAACGAGAGGGAAAAGAGTCTTAAACTCAGTTCAGTAGCATTTTGCAAGAAGATTCTGAACTAACTCAGACCAGGCCCTGCCATGGAAGAGGTTGTAGGAGGTGTATCAGAGAACAGAGCTCTCCCAACTGTTCTCCTTGTGGAGATCCCCCACAATGCCCATCAGGGCAGATGGGGATGCACACACAGTTGCACAGAGGAAGTCCTGCCTCCGAGCCTGGCAGAACTGCATGAGGCTAGGGTCATCCACATGGAGATCCTATGTCCTCTGCATTCCCTGTCTGCTTCATTCCCTGGCAACACAGTTCCATTGCACAAATAAGGAACCCTGGACCACGTAGAGAGACTTCTGCAAGTGATAGGAGTGGGTGTATGGTTGTAAGGAATTGGCAGATCTCCCTATTTCCACATGGAGGAATGCAATCCATGCGTGGATCTAGGAGGCAGAATCCAGACCTTCCTTTGCACACAGTACTATTTTAAAGCTATTTGGGACTAATTGACTTTGTCTCTTTCAGTCTTCCAAAATATCACAAAGCAATAAAGAGTGGTATATGAACGCAGATCAGATTAACAAATGAAGTACTGCTTTATGCCACAAACAACTCTTTACAACATAAATTCCCAGCTTGCTTACAAAATATTTTTTTCATTAATTTTCCATCTGGATAAATAAACTTCCAGAGGACATGGATACTTTTCACAAGGGCCAGGGCTTTAATTCTGAGAGTGTCAGGAAACACCAAAAGAGGATCTACTCTTATTTTCAGTTTACTGCCTAAGGCTATGATACTACAGTCAGATTCACCCCAACACCTGTACAGTATGCACTGACTTCAACAGGGTGTTGGCCAGGTGTAGGCCTTGGCTCGTGATCATCAGGGAGGATTAGGGACTAACTTTTTTTTAAAACTCAGATTCTGGCCAAAGTGAGGCTAATGCCCTTCTGCTTCCTCACATCTGTGTGACCTGTGGGAACTGCACAGTAACATTTGCTCCAAGCTGAACTGTTTACAACAGCCAGAAATGAAGAGTCAGTTAAGCAGAGTTAGAATTGCTATCCGCAGCTTCAGAGTCTCTGTCTTGGATTTTGTTAGGATAGGGATGATGTGAATAAATGCAATAAGGCAGAGGAGATCAGAGGTTATGAAACCTATACGGGTGATAATAAAATAGATCACTTCATCATTCCAAGCAGAAAGAAATATTGGGGGGAGGATGGGGACCAGAACAGCTGCTGGAAGGGAGCCAAAAATTAGAAATGTACCAAATATCTAACCATCACTTTTATTATTTGTATTACATAGTGTCTAAGATCCCCAGTCACAGAACTGGACCCTGTTGTGCTAGTGCTATACAAATGGGACAAAAGATGGTCCCTGTCCTAAACAGTCCTTGGTTCAGCCAGGCACTTGAGCACATCCATAACTTTAACGTGTTTAAGTGTGTTGCTGAAGCTGAGCTAATCTGACTAGCTGGAATTGGTATTTGGGTGAAGCCAAATAGCTGTACAGTTACTGAATAATGAAGTATAAATGTATTAAAGTGGATCATTACAGCAGAATGTTTGTAATGAGAATCAATACCAACCGTAAATCAGCCTCCCAAAACACGGCACAATACATATTACTCTTTCTATTGCATTTGGTTACCAATATATTTTATAATGGCAATAACAAGTTAGTAACACTGCACTGCAAACGGAACGTTACTTGTGGTTCCTTTATGTGCATGTTGGGATTTCTCTCACCCTTTGTCCTTATTAAAGCTTGTTTTCCACAAATACATTTTGGCACCTGATTCTGAAAAAAAAATTACTTTTACTCCCTACCCCCAACCTGTGTTGGGTTCACGTCACATCTGGCTCTCGGGAAAGGGGCAGTAGAGCCAGCCATGCCACAGATATCACTGGGCTTTGGAAAGTCATTAAAGAAAATAGTCATCTGAAGACAAATAGCAAAACTGTCACTGGGGTTTGGCCAAGTACCTGTCTGAGGCAGAATTTGGGTACAGTCCTGCCTGAAACTGCCTTGTTTAACTACCCTCTCAGTAAACATAAGTGTTCCCCCGCCCCTTGTGTCCCTCTCTGAACAGCTGAGGGAAGGGTAAGCCAAACAGTTTGTGCTTCAAAAGTTGGAGGACTAGATGATTTTGAATTGTTTATTGTGATACTGTCTTTGACCGAGTTAAAAGCTTGGATTGTCTAAGGGAGGCAAATTAGTGTGGTGGCACCACCACCATTTGGGGCATGGGGAAATCCTCCTCCCTTAGCCTATTGTGTGACAAATGCCCCTTCTGCAGCATCCACAGAGATCTAGGGTGGCAGACTGCTGTTTAATATTGGTTTTATATGGGATAGAAGGGCTTACCTGCTACCTTGAGGGTCACATCTGCCCTGTGAATAACCCTGAAAACCGTGTCCTTCTTCTGTATTATGCACTGATATGTGTGTTCATCTCTCAGGCTGACGTTTAGCAGCAGCAGAGAAAAAGTGCCATTTTTCAGCTTATCCTGAAATAATCGAGTCCTGTTTCTGAAGTCTGCACACTGCTCGCTTTGGTTCTCGTGACCAGAATTAAAGGTGTGTACCACTGAACACGGTTTTAAACCATCCTCTATTTGCCAAAAGACCCGTAGCTTATTTAAAATGATTTTTTCCTCTGGAGTAAAAATGCAACTCAGTTCAGCAGTGCTGCCTATTGTGCTGATAACTTTCTTATTTTCCTCTGCAGTAACTACAAAGATAAAAAGGGGAACAAAGAGAAAATCAGTCTTAAGAAAAGCAGTTTAATATACTTGTCACAATCCTACTTACCAGCTGGTTTGAAAAGGAGTACTTATATTTTAAAAACAAGAATATCAATATTCACTTGTTTGTAAAGAAAAATAATTGCTTAGGGCCAAGTTCTGATCTCATTGCCACCAAAGAAGGGAGAAAGTATGATCCAGTGATAAGGACACAGCTTCAAAGTTCTCTTCTCTGCCACTAACTTTGTGCGTGACCATGAGCAAGCCACTTAATCTCTCTGCTTCTCAATTCCCCATCTGTAAAATGGGGATTAAAATGGAGACAATAGTACTTCCCCACCTCACCAGGGTGTTGTGAGAACAAATACATTAAAGATTGTGAGGTGCTCAAGTAAAGGGGTGAGGGACATACAAGTACCTAGAACAGAAACAAAGTAACTGACTCCACTTGAGGTACTCCTTACTTGCACTGGTATTACTGATCCTTAAAGATCATGTGTAACATTATATATTCATTTGTAACAATTTACCATGGGTCGTGATGGATTCTCCATCTCTGACAATCTTTAAATCAAGATTGGATGTTCTTTCTAAAAGGTGTGCATTAGGAACTATTTTGGAGAAGGTCTATGGCCTGTGTTATACAGGTGATCAGACTAGATGATTACAATGGTCCTTTCTGGCCTTGGAATCTCTGAACAAACATTATATGGTCCCCACGTTAAACGGGCAACAAATAGCAAAATTAAAGTAAAGAACAGCAACTCCTTAAAACACAAAGAAATAAAATATATTTTTTGAGAAGATATTTTCCATGGGCAAAATTCAGACACTCAGGCATGCTGACTGGAACCTGTGTACATGGGTGGACCTGTTTAAATCAATGGGACTAGACCCCAGGGCTGGCGCGAGACCAAATGGCGCCCCATGCGAGGAGTGTCTTTGGCGCACCCCTCCCCTCTATTTGTTAAACTTTTGAATACCTTACAGCACCCCAAACCCAGTGCACTCCAAGTCCGGCACCCCAGGCGGTCACCTGGGTCGCCTGCGCCTAAATCCGTCCCTGACTACACCCATGAGAAAGTAATATACACTGTGAGGAAGGGTGACAGATTAGGGCACTATATGGAGAATTTTTCCCTGAAATGCTGTTAAGTTTTGAGTGAAGGACTCCAGACATCGAACCTACAATAAAATTAATAATGACTTTTACTGTACTAATGATGAGTGCAAATGAAAGTAACTCTTGGACTGCTAGGCAATGATCCTGTGAGGAGCCGTGTGTGCACTGACCCATGTGTCCGCACACAGCCCCACTCAGCACATTGTCCCTTGAAGGACTGAAACTTAAAAAAAATTCCGACCTATTAATATAAAATAAAGCTTCTTAAACTGTGCCCATCTGTCCCCTAGGGGTTCTTCAGATTTCCCTTCCCTATATTTTCACTTCTTCCATGCCCTCGGATATCTCAGATCCATGACAGCCATCCTCTCTGGAGGGAGGGCTGGATAATCTTTCAGTTGTCTAGAGGTGGTAGCAAGACTTCAGTGTGAGATGGCACCCCTACCCAAAGGCCCAGCAGAAGAGTTGTGCTCAGCCCAGGGAATGAATGGTGGAAGGGTTAAAAAGGCTGCTATTTACTCTACTTAACCATTCAGTTCTTTACATTTTGGCAAACTGTGTGTTCGTGTGTGTTTGTGTTCCAAGAGGGCTTATTAGGACCTCATGAATCCTCTCTAGTTACTTCCTCATTTGTGCACCAGCATCATCACTGTTAACAGGGAAGCCCAGGAATAGTGTTTTAGGCTCTGTCTGTGACTACTTAAGCATACGTTTAACTTTACGTACACGAGTAATCCTATGAAAGTCCAATGTAACTAGTAATGTGCATAATGCAGTTTTGCCAATCCCAAGCATACAAAAACCAGGCCTCACAAGATCATGGGATTAATTAAAAAAAATAATATTGTGATTTTTAATGTTGCGTTCTATTCCTTTGCCTTCTAGTTTCTCAACACATTTATGTTACTTCAAGTTTTTCTCCACAGTCATAGGGGCTAGAAACCTACTTTAATCCCCCCTTCAAATAAATGCTAGATTCTCACAAAATCACAGGACTCAAAGGGTCTGAGCCAAAGCCCACTGAAGTCAATGGGAGCCTTTCCATTGACTTCCATATGCTTTGGATCAGGACCTGGGGCTTGGAGGAAGAACACCAAATATTGTAAGAATCATGATAAAATCTCAAGTTTTGGTAACACGTTAAACATGTGTAAGGGTATGTCGGCACTGCAGCTGGAAGGTGTGATTCCTAGCCTGGGGAGACAGACTTGCACTAGCTCTGCTTGAGCTAGCATGCTAAAACTAGTGTGTGAATGTTATGGCACTGGCAATGGCTTGAGCTAGCCACCCAGGCTCTGACCCAGAACATTGGGCAGGCTTGGACTAGGGTAGCTAGCCAGAGCTGCTGTCAGTGCCGTGACATCTATTGTGTGCTATTTTTAGTACACAAGCTCAAGCAGAGCTAGTGCAAGTCTGTCTACCCATGCTGGAAATCACACTTCCCTGCTGCAGTGCAGACATAGCCTAAGGGTATGTCTACACATCAATTAAACACCCGCTGCTGGGCTGGGTCAGCTGACTCAGACTTGCAGGGCTCTGGCTGTGGGGCTGCAAAACTGCTGTGTAGACATTTGGGCTCAGGCTGGAGCCCAAGCTGTGGGGGGTGTTCCAGAGTCCAGGCTCAAGCCTAAGCCCAAATGTCTACACAGAAATGTTCAGTCTTGCAGACTGAGCCTGGGAGCTCGAGTCAGTTGATCTGGGCCATGCGCAGTCATGCCGTGGGGCTTTAATTCCAGTGTAGAGGTACACTAAAAGGCCTCAGTCCTGTGAACAAAGGTACTACTTGCTATGAATAAGAGTGGCAGATTGTGGCCCTAAATGGAAAGGTCACGGTATACTGCAGTACATTTACTACTGATGTGGTAGGGTCACATTCTCAACAAACACCCTTTCCCATGCCAAGGTGGAGTGCGCTGTGACTAGGTATGTACAGTTTTAACAAACACTAAACGACTCAGCCAAAAGTACATGATTCTGTGTCTAAGAAGAATGGGGCAACTTTTCATTCTTCTATGAAACAGCAAAAATACTTTAAATCTCATTTGATAGTCTCTCTATCCCCGTACCCACACTTTATTTGGGGGTAAATTGGGGAGCTTTTAGTAATCAAGAGCGTGAGAAATGTTTGGTGCTTACCAGTAATGTATGGTGCTAGTTGTATTACTGGTATCGAAATTGAGACACACTGACAAAGCAGATCTGTATAAGTCTTAATGTTCTAGTTGTGAGGCCTCTTCCTGGCAGATGTGTTGATTGTGCATTGATCGCTAGGTCAGCCCAAGGCCAGAACTTGCAGAGGGGTTCTGTGCAGGAAGGGCTTTCAAAACTGTGCTGCAAATGTTAATCTTTCTCTCCAGAGGTTAAGGCTAGTGCATTTGCACACAGCACTGTTTAGCTCCTTTTTCATATTAACTCAGAGCCAGATTCTGATAACTCATTCTGCACAGTACTGTATTTCATGAGTGTTCCCATTGACTTCAATGAGAGTTCTCAGGCAGTAAGGTATTATTCAGTCCGAATAAAGGTCCCCAGGTAGTCCTAGTGTCCTTAATAAAATCACAAGGACATTTGACATTCTTTATGCAAATTACAAAAAGTCTCATATTAAAGAATCTTTATGATTCCTGTTCAAAAGTACTTTTTAGATTTCTGATTTATGTTGTGCATATACATATTCTGCATATTCAAAAAATGCTTGTATTAAAAGTGATAATAATAAGAATAACTTTTTCTTAACTTACCAAATCCCAGAGCACAAAGAAACAGTAACCAAAGTCCAGAGCTAAAAAACCCAAAAGATAAAAGCACAATGATGATAATGCAATTGTAAGTGCATCCGTACTATTCACAGTTTTAAATACAATAGCAGTAGCGTAGCATAGAAACAACATATGGGTAGCAGTATCTATTATATAGACTCAGAATAAGCACCCACATATTTGACAGCTACATAATGTCACTTTAAAATTATCACTCTGTGGGAAAAGGCAATAAATTGAAGGAAAATACACTATACTGGGCTTGAAACCAATGCTATCTACCTTTCTGATTAACAGTTGACTGGATCCGTCTGTGGCATGTCCATGAAACCTGTTGATGTGACTACTTAAAAAATAGTTGACTATGCAGATCACCTTCTTGGGTGTATGGCAGAGGTGGGCAAATTATGACCTGCGGACCACATCCGGCCCACGGGACCGTCCTGCTCAGCCCCTGAGCTCCCGGCCGGGGAGGCTAGTCCCCGGCCCCTCCCCCACTGTTCTCCCCCCCCCACAGCCTCAGTGCGCTGGCCCACCGCTCCTGCAGGGCAGGGTGGCGGTGTGGCTGGTTCCAGTATGGTAATGGGGCAGGGAGCGGGGGGTCCCAGGGGGCAGTCAGGGGACAGGGAGCAGTTGGATGGGGCTGAGGTTCTGCGGGGGGAGGCGGTCAGAGAATGGGGAACAGGGGAGGCTGGATAGGCATGGGAGTCCTGGGGGGGTCTGTTAGGGGGTGGGGCAGTCAGGGGACAGGGAGAAGGGGCGGTTGGATGGGGGTGGGATCCCAGAGGGTGGTTAGCGGCGGTGGGGGGGGTCCCAGGAGGGGGCGGTCAGGGGACAAGGAGCAGGGGGGTTGGATGGGTCAGGGATTCTGAGGGGAGCAGTCAGGGGGTGGGAAGTGGGAAGGGGGCAGATAGGGGGTGGGGGCCCAGCTATTTGGGGAGGCACAGCCTTCCCTACCTGGCACTCCATACAGTTTTGCAACCACGATGTGGCCCTCAGGCCAAAAAGTTTGCCCACCCCTGGTGTATGGGAATATATACATAGATAAAATATATATATATATATAGGGAATACGTCATGGTGTGGAGTGGTATAAAGGCCTCACTGGCATGACTGTGGGATGGCTGCATTGTTCCCAAGTGGCAAAGCCACAAATGGGTTATGCAGATCATTCCAGTCATCACAAATAAGTATTTTGTATATGTCATATGTTACAGGAAAAAACTATTTTATGAATGTTTTAGAAAGTCCCAATATTTTTTAAAGCTATGTTTGTAACCCTCCCCCCTATAAAGTCCAGGTGCCTTCACTGTCATAAGTCTCATTGTTCAGAACTTGGGAGGGAGAAATATAAAAATGAAAACCAATAAAGATAACATACACTTTCCAAAACAGTCTGAAAATAGAATCTCTATACATAACAATGCTGACATCTGGGGTCTTTCCAGGGCTAATGCCCTGTCCCAATGGACAGTGATTAATTAATTGCCCCATACCATTGGTATAACCCCCCCACTACTAGCTCTTCACAGATGTAAGAAATCGGACTTAAAAGCCATAACACTTTTATGTCTAACAAAGCTCTTATGGCTGAGATTGAATCGTGCTCATCTTGAGCCTCAGATAGGATAAATTTGGGGGTGGGGTGGAAAGGGAGGGGGTGCTCACATTATTCTGGCTCTCTGATAAAAACAAATGTGGCTGTGTGAAGCTGCTCTCATAGGCACCGACTCCGTGGGTGCTCCGGGGCTGGAGCACCCATGGGGAAAATTGGTGGGTACTCTACACCCACTGGCAGCTCCCCACCCCGACCCCCCCGCACCAGCTCACGTCCGTTCCGCCTCTTCCCCTGAGCACGCCGCCGCTCCATTTCTCCCTTTCGCTCCCAGTGCTGCAAGCAGGGATTTGGGGAAGGGATCCAATAGGGGCAGGGAGGGGGTGGAGTTGGGGCACGGACTTTGGGGAAGGGGTTGGGATGGGGGCAAGTACCCAGTGGCGCCTGGAAAAGTTGGCGCCTATGTCCCTTCTGCATTCAAATCAGACTGCTTCCTCCTCCACACATGCTGGGTGCCAGCAGGGGGGCATTGAGAGGACAGGAGATACGGGCTCCCTGCACTCAGTTCCAGTGCCTGGGCCTATCCTAGCCCGAAGCAGCTGGGAGCTGCCACTACAGGGAAAATCCAGCTCCCCTCCTGTAGCTCTGGGCTGGAGGCAGCATGCTCAGTCACTGTGTGGAGATGGTGCATATACAGTCTGGTTAGCACTAGGAGCTGTGAGGGGATAGTGCATGATCCATGTGTGCATGTATATGTATGTGTGTGTTTCTATCTAACATATGGCTCTAGAATACCTTCCTTTAAAAATTCACCCTGGTACTATTTTTAAATCCTGTGGTTTTGTTTGTTTTCCTTCTTAAACAACAGGTCTAATCAGGGGCAGATTAGGGTTTGTGGGGCCCCTGGGCCAGAGCAAGTGGCGGCCCCTCCCCACCCCTTCTGCCTGCAGTCCCCCTCCCTCCAGCCAGGGAGTAGGCTTGGGGTGCAGGGGCTTGCTCCACTCCGCCCACCTAGTACTCCTGCCGGGGAAATGGGGTCTGGACATGGAGGCTTGCCTTACTCTGCCCACCCGTCCGGCGCTCCAACTGGGGAGCAGGGTTGGGGTGCGGGAGTGCCCATTTTTCTGGGGGCCCCCACTTGGCTTTGGCACTGGGTCTAGTTTCCTGTTGAACCAAAGAGACAACAATGCTTGATTGTCTTTCATTGGACCTTTCAGGGAATTTCCCTTAAGAGGTATTGCTGGTGCCAATGAGAAAGTAACAAGTGTTAGTGGGGCTGTCTGTGCTATGTAGCACAAATGCATAACTGGTGTCAATATAAAACTGTTGTTACTGGATTAGAATTTTAATATTTCAGTCCAGAGTTTAGACAAGACAGATCCAGGGGCTGACCATTCTCCCTCCTAAGTGGATGTTAATGCTGCTGCAGTCCACAGTGCTTGCAGAGTGGCTCAGTTACTGAGCACCAACCTGAGCAGGTGAGAGGATTCAGTCTTTCCTTGAAACCAGAGGAATTCCTCTGCATCATGCCCATTTGGGATTAATTCCTGCACCAACTGGAGTGGGAATGGTTTCCACTGATTTAAATGGAAACTGGATCAATCCCTTAGTCTCTTTTTAAATGGTTTGTTTTTCTCCATTTATTTCCTCTCTCTCCCGCCACCCCCCCCCCCCTTATTTTTAAACTTCCAGGGAGACAGGAGAAAGTTTCACTTCTTCATTCTCACACTGGCCCAGCGAGATTATAATTCCCACTCTCATCTGCATATTTACATGTACAATTTACCTTCTTCTCATGAGAATTGATTTGATGCAGTTGAAAATTGCAATGTATTTTTTGGTGTGTTTTTGCTTTTCTGAGCACATCAAAAAATATGAGAATGTTCATGTTGCAACAACTGGGTGTTTTGTTTCACATTTAAATCAAATCTAAAAACCTTGACTATGTACTAAACTGTATCAAGAACAGCTCTTTGTGCCTCATCAATGTTATATGTCTCTTAGCTGAGTTATGTAGAATTCAATTGCCCTAAATCTTTATCTGTTTCATGGCATTTTTCCATAATTATAGTTTTTCAGATAATATAAAACATGCGTTTGTTTAGATCTTTCTATTGTTCACACCTTAACCAAAAGGAAGTCTGTCTGCAGTGACATGCTCTCTACTTCTCACAGTGCTTCACAAATAAACATCAGTAACCACCTACATGAAACAGTTGGGTGCACTGCTGTGGTTTTTCAGCACAGAATCAGTCATGCAGAGCCCAGAGTTGGGGTTGATCACAAAACCCACAGTGCGAGTCATTTTACTCACTTTAATTGTCTCTGTATCCCTAATCCTGAAAGGTGCTGGGCTCCCACAACTCCTACTGTCGTCAAGGGGAGAGGATGGGACTCAGGTGGGAATGATAAAGAGCAGTCCGACTTATTCAATATGACCCACTGACAACTGCCCTGGCACTCTGTTGCCACGTCTCATTGGAGGCATAACAAACAAATGTAGTTCATCTCCTTTGCTGTAGTGCATGGTAAAAATGTGTTGTCGGGGAACATCCCCCATTGAAAGGGGCATGATAAGCAACTGGCCTTGGGGAAGAATCAACTTGTACATGCAGCAAGAAAGTTTAGCCACTGCGAGTTCCCAGATGAAGCGTTCACACAGGGGTTTGTCTTCCCTAGGAAAAGGGGTGTGTGCCTCTATCACATGGTAATGACAGCTAGGCAGAGAAATGTTTTGAGGAGGATTTTGCTATTTCCAAAATGGATTTTGATCTGATTCAGAACAAAAACCAAAAATTTCAAAATTCTCCATGCAAGGGGATGGAGCCCCAGCTCTGGGGCAGTCTGCCAGGTAGGCTGCCGAGGAGCCAGGAAACCAGGCCAGTTTCCCTTAGAACCCTGCCTGGTTTCTGGAGGAACTTTGTCAAAATCAAACTGTCTCTGCAGAATGTTTTGATTTCAATGAATTGGCAAATGTCAACCAAAAAGGTTTGATCTGAATTTTTCAGACCACCTGTAGTAAGAACTATCCTAAGGTAAAATCCTAGTGAGACAAGGCACTTTGTAGTTTTCATGCAAGTTAGGAATTTGAGATAAACCCTACGCTCCTGCTGGAGTATGAGTGAGTCTAAATTAAGAGTTATAGGGAAAAACATTTGTACATCTAATTCAATGGGAGTTGAAGTCTCTGCACAGACTCTGGGCAGAATTTGGCTCTGGTAATGCAGGATCTAAGTGCTAATTCTTAACCTGAGAATAAAGAAAGCACCTTTATATTAAGCTAGTTAGAACCACAAAGGCCAGTTTTCAGATTCACTGCAAAGTGTATGTGTGTTGGGGGAGGGAGGGGGGGGCTGTAAAACTTGCTCCTTGTGTTTTTAATTCAATAATAAAATACCACTGCTATTCAACAGCCAAGTAGCCTTTCCCTGCAATAACAATCCCAATAGAGTTTTCTGTTTTCCCCCCCTATGAATTCCAGTCAGTGTCAAGGAGAGATTTATCTGAGTTGCACATTCCTTCCCCCATAACACAAGGAGCAGAAACTGCTGACTTCTTGGGAGCAGGATCAGGCCCTGGCCCTGGCCCCCTGGTTTGCCCCTATTGCCCTCTCTTGATAAAGGAAGATTAAATTATGAGCAGCCTCAGCCTCAGCCTTACCCTGACAGCCACCACAAACGCACCAAATGGCTTGGGGGTGGGAATGAATCAACCTACCGATAGACACACCCACACACCAGTCAGTGGGAAGAGTTGGCAGGAAAAGCTGGACCTTCCTGCAGCCTGGTAACTTTTGTAGTCAGCCCCCCTCCCCACCCACCAATTGTACTGTCAAAATTGAGAGCAAGCGTAGCTGTTCCTGGCGCACCACAACCCCTCCTGCAGCACAGACACCCAGCCCTTGCACCTGGATCCAGAGAGCGCCGCGCAGTTTTTGATGCCAACAACCCCCCCCTCCCCAATGTCTAACATCTGAACAGAGAGCAAGAGTAGATGCTCCTATTGCAGCAAGAAAATCAGGACCGGACCAGCCCCCCCCCCGGTTTGACGCTGGGCTCCCGGGGGGTTTAGGAGCCGGTTCAGTGATTGTCCATTGCCGAGGAAGGCAGGGGACTCGGCCGGCGGGGCTGGCAGCGCTGTCCAGGGTTTGTCTTTGGGGCGCGCTCGGAGCAGAGCGACGGCCCTGGGGCGCTGGGTACAACGACCAGGAGCCCCCGCAGCTACCCAGCGCCAGCAGGCACTTGCGGGGGGCGGAGTGTGAACCAGGGGCGAGTCTCTGGGGTCCCCGCGCCGCACTCACCGTCTCAGCTCCATGCCGGCGCGGGGCGCTGCTCGGGCAGCCTCGGGGCCTCGGCGGCTGTCGGAAGGAGAAGTGGAGAAGCAGCCGCGGGGCCGAGGCTGGGGCTGAGCCGGCTCCTCCCTCCTACGTCGGCCAAGCCGGGGATTTCCGCGCCTGGTCCCTTCTCCCTTCCCACGCGGCCGGGGCCGGGGAGGTGACCGCGGGCCGGTCCCCGCCGCGCGCTGCCTCTGGGGGGGTCGCGTCCCAGCAGGGGGCGCGTGAGGGAGCGACCCGCCCGCGCCCTGACACGAGCCCCACCCCCGCCTACACAGAAGGCAGCCTCCCGACGGCCTCCGAGGGGTTGCTGACCTGGGAGGGCCAACGCCGCACCGTGTAAACTCGCCTCCCTTTTGTCCCGGGGAGCTTCTCCGAGCCTGCCGGCAGCGTTCAACGCCCAGCAGAAGGGCTCAAATGCACCCACGCTAGGGTGACGAAAAGAGGTCTCAGTTTTAGAGGGACAGCCCTGATTTGGGGGTCTTTTTCTTGAACAGGCTCCTATTACCCCCCTCCCCCTGTCCTGATTTTTCGCATTTGCTGTCTGGTCACCCTAACCCAAGGTGCTGAATAATATCAGTTTATGAATGGAAACTACTCACATGCTCCCTGGTAAGTTTCCAGCTACGCCACACAAGTGAGTCTTCTCCTTTTTAAAAGGCGAACCTGTTGGTTACATAATCGGGAAGAGTCACACTGTTGCTGAGTCTGGAACAATAGGGCAGTGGTTTTCAAACCTTTTTTTTTTTCTGGCGACCCAGTTGAAGAAAATTGTTGATGCCTGTGACCCAAGGGGGCTGGGGATGAAGGGTTTGGGGCGCGGGAGGGGCTCAGAGGATGGGGGTGAAGGCTGTGGGGTGGGGCTGGGAATGAGGGGTTGAGGCTGGGAGGGGGGCTCAGGGCTGGGACAGGGGTTTGGGGTGTGGGAGGAGTCAGGGCTGTGGGTGCAGGCTCAGGTCGGGCCAGGGATGAGAGGTCTGGGGTGCAGGAAGGGGCTCTGGGGTTGGGGGGTGCCTCAGGGTTGAAGATTAGAGTGCAGGCTTACCTTGAGTGCAGTCAAGGGTGCAGAGGCAGGATTCCTGACTGTCCTGGCACCGTGGACCATGCTGCGCCCCAGAAGCAGCCAGCAACAGGTCTGGCTCGTAGACAGAGGTGCACAAGCGGCTCCGCGTGGGTCTCACCCGCAGGCACCGCCATCCCCAGCTCCCATTGCCTGGGAATCGGCCACTGGGAGTGCAGAAATGGTGCTCGGGGCTGGGGCAGTGCGTGAGCAGCCCCGCCTAGGACCTGCTGCTGGCCACTTCCGGGGCACAGCGTGGTGTTGGAACAGGCAGGGACTAGCCTGCCTTAGCCGGGCAGCACTACTGACCGGACTTTTAACGGCCCCGTCGGCGGTGCTGACCAGAGCCGTCGCAATCCCGTGCCTTACGTTCCACGACCCAGTACTGGGTCGCAACCCACAGTTTGAAAACCACTGCTTCACAACACATCCCTGTGTGGTAGGGGAGTATTATCATCTGCATTTTACAGATGGGGAACTGAGGCTAAGTGCCCAGTGTTACACAGAAAGTCTGTAGCACAGCAGGGAATTGAGCCTCTGTTTCCCAGAGTCCTAGGCTACTGCCCTAACCTGGGAACCATGAGGGTGATGCGTCCTAAAATAACACGTAAGATGAATGATCTTTTGAGAAATATCAGTATAATCCCTCTCTCTTTCACATAGGTCTTGTCTACATGACACTGTAGTGCAAATTAGAGAGATGTCATTTCTAGAGCAAAAAGAAAAGGAGTACTTGTGGCACCTTAGAGACTAACCAATTTATTTGAGCATGAGCTTTCGTGAGCCACAGCTCACTTCATCAGATGTGTACCGTGGAAACTGCAGCAGACTTTATATACACACAGAGAATATGAAACAATACCTCCTCCCACCCCACTGTCCTGCTGGTAATAGCTTATCTAAAGTGATCAGCAGGTGGGCCATTTCCAGCACAAATCCAGGTTTTCTCACCCTCCACCCCCCCACACAAATTCACTCTCCTGCTGGTGCTAGCCCATCCAAAGTGACAACTCTTTACATAATCAAGTCGGGCTATTTCCTGCATAGATGTGCTCTAACTGCCCTGTGTAGACCATGTTGGCACAAACTAACAGGTACCTAGTTCATGTTGATGTCGTCTCTTTTCAGAAAGGACTACATTCATATGCTTTAGTTACTTTTTAGTTCATGCCAGCAGGGTCTACAGGGGGCAGTTAGAGCAGAACATAGGAGTGCTCTACAATTCACACCCCTCTAGTTTGCCCTGCAAAGCCATGTAGACAAGGCCTTAGATGCAGATAGAAGCCCCATTGGCTGCAGGTTCCTGTGATTGGAAAGTCCTAGATCAGTTACTTTGGTTTCTCAACATTTCTTAATTTTTTTTTAAAACTCAACTATAAATTGCTCCCTAGCAACCGGAATAGATTAGGTGACATTGTTACTTATATAGAGCAACTACTATTGAATGGATGGAATGAAGTATCTGCCCCATCTTTGAGAGGTCAGTCTCATCTAGGGCTAAGACTACAGGGAAAGGAGTTGCACTAATAGAGATCATATCCTTTGGATAGATGTTAAACTAACCTGTATTTGGCACGTCTATAGTCAGAAGAACATAAGAACGGCCATACTAGGTCAGACCAATGGTCCATCCAGCCCAGGATCCTGACTTCCGACAGTGGCCAATGCCAAGTGCTTCAGAGGGAATGAACAGAACAGGTAATCACCAAGTGATCTATAGATCCATAGTCACCATCATAGTGTTTAAAGTTAGGCACCTAAATCCCTAGTTACTCCCTCAGAAGTGGCCTGATTTTCAGAGGTGCTGAGTACCAACAATTCCCATTGACTTTGAGTGCTCAGCACCATAGAAAATCAGCTCACTTTTATTTATGTGCCCTAATATGGATTTAGGTGCCTAATTTTAGGCACTTGTTTGAAAAATTGATCACAACACCAGGGGTGCTGGAACAATTTTTATAGTGGAGGTGCTGAGAGCCATTGAACCAAACTTTGTAAACCCTGTATATAATGGAATCCACTTCAAACCAGGGGGTGTGGCAACACACACACACCCCTAGTTCCAGCACCTATGCACAGCACAGAATGTACAACACAAAGAACATGCATGATGCAGAACTATCAGAGTAGGATCCTTACCATTTCCTCCCCTTTTAAAAAGATATAACAAAACATTTTTTTGGTAATATGCTGTGATGTTTTTCTGGAGGTGGGAGAATAGTCTGTAGTCTTAATGGAACATAGATTCATGGACTGAAATATGATCCTGTATCTTGATTTGGTATTTCCAAGAACATAAGAAATATGTTTAAAGGAGAACAAAGTTGAAATTGATATAAATTGGTGTGACTGGGGTCCCAGTGCGGGCCAGCTGAGGTCACTCAATTAGGGTGAACTGTAAAAAATGGGGCAGACAAACCCCAAAGCTGGTGGATAATTCAATACTTAGATTTACCAAGCCAGCATAAAACAGCTTCTTTATTACCTCACTGGTTGTTCAGAAACCAACAACACAGTTCCCTCAAAGCAACCGAGCCTCAGGCCTCCATCCAGGTACCCAAGTCAAATATGATGAAGATTTTTGAAAATCTTATTTCATCATATAAAAGAAAAGGTTCTACCAATCCCAAAGGATTGGACACATGACCTCCCGGGTTATTGAATATTCCAGATCTTACCCGAATACCCATATACAGCCAATTCTTATTAACGAAACTAAAATTTATTAAAAAAGAAAAAAGAGAGAGTATAGGTTAAAAGATCAATATACATGCAGATATGAGTTCAGTTCTTGAGGTTTAGGTACATAGCAGAGATGGTGAGCTTTGTAGTTGCAAAGAGCTCTTTTAGAATTTAGTTCATAGGTTATAGTCCAAGGTCCAATATCATATTCAGGGCGGACCAGTCAGCACTGGGATACCAATCTTGTGGCCTACGCTTCCCCTGCATCTGAAGCGTCAAGCAGATCTGAGATAAACAGGATCAGGACCCAAGGGTCTTTGTATACAGTGTTCTAGCATACAGTCTTGGGTAAACAATAGGCTTTTGATGTAACCTTCTGTTTTCTGAACACCACCAGTAATTAGTTACACAAATTAACATAGGGCAATTTATTCATTAGGCAGTCTATCACAGATTTCAAGGGGACATATAGACAATGACATTATTTCACCCAAGATTCATCTAAATGTTAATATTCCCTCCAACAAAAAATCTTCAGAAACAGACTCCAACAAGAAACGGCAGAATTGGAATTAATTTGCAGACTGGACACTGTTAAATTAGGCTTGAATAAAGACTGGGAGTGGATGGGTCATTACACAAAGTAAAAACTCTTTCCCCATGCTATTTTCCCCCCTGCTGTTACTCACACCTTCTTGTCAACTGTTTGAAATGGGCCATCCTGATTATCACTACAAAAGATTTTTTTTCTCCTGCTGATAATAGCCCACCTTAATTAATTGGTCTCATTATAGTGTGTATGGCAACACCCATTTTTTCATGTTCTCTGTGTACATATATCTTCCTACTGTATTTTCCACTGCATGCATCTGATGAAGTGGGTTTTAGCCCATGAAAGCTTATGCCCAAATAAATTTGTTAGTCTCTAAGGTGCCACAAGTACCCCTCATTGTTTTTGCTGATAAGGACTAACACAGCTGCCACTCTGAAACCTAACAATATAGGTTTGCATTTCAAAGTTCTAGCCTATTTAGCATGAATGGCCCTAATTACCATTTCTAACATATCTTTAACGGTTGGCTTTGGGTTAGTTAGCCTGCAAGCTGTTTAACCCTTTCCGGCCATGAGTTATATTTTGTATAAGATTTGCTGCAATTATACAGCAGTGGTAGCAATAATGATTTGCATGGTTATATTTTAATTAGACAATGTCACAACTGGCCATCCAGGGGCAGCGCTGGGGGGGTGTACTTGTGGGGGCTATAGCCACCCCAAAAGTTTGCCTTAGCCACCCTGTAGCAGCTGCCACTTTCCAACCACCCAGCTCTGAAGGCTGAGCAGAGAGCATGGATGCTGCTGACTGGGGGCCCAGATCCAGTGGCAGCAGAGAAGTAAGCCAGGGAGGAGGACCCTGGGGGCCCCAAGAGCAGCCTTGGTACATGTTGCCACCTACTGGGGTATTCTATCCAGGGCTGGTGGAGGGTCAGGACTCCCT